TGTCACTAAGATGGGCTGCATTACGACCTGACCAGGATATCGATCTGTGCAGTTTAGAATACCCTGCCATTCGATACGGAAAAATGTTGCGCCGCTCAATTACGCCATAAGCATGACTACGTGTGTTGGGTCCCACATATTGCAAACTGCTTCCACGGAAAGCATTGGTCTTCTCATACAAAGTGACTTCAACTGTTCAAAAGAAGCGGACGCCGTTGCGAAAGATGCAACCAGCATGTCGGTCTGCTGCGAAGAGCATTTTGGAGATTTGTCCCATCAATATCATTGATGATGCACACACACGTACGTGCGCCCTCACACTGAATGGGTCATCCAAGGTTGGCAATCTCGTTTAGAACGCGACTTCGAGGTGTTAGAGAAGCCACAGCTCAGGACAACAAATAATAGGAAAAGCCTGCGCAATCACTCTTATCACCGAAGGGTGAAGTTGCTGAGAGTTTACAGCGGACTCTACCGAATATTACACGATAATCTCATATAAGTGTACCAAATACGGTGTGACATTAATCCTGTCACTTGCTGAAACTCAGCCAAAACGCCAAGCTCTGAATTAACTGCTTGGAACGGATTGAACAATAATTTTGCTCTTTGAGTTTGTCGACGTTGCAATTCCCTCCGAAGCTCAGTTCTCTCTTACCTAATTTGGAGAGTTTCAAAATAACATTGTATGTCGCTCTTGGTTCCTAACGCTCATTGCGTAAGTTGCACTATTGTGGGTTGCAGTAGTCATGCCCTTCTATTGGATTTATGTGTCCCGGATCAAATTAGACGATACATGAGAGAGCGACTATATTTTTATTGTTTCAGATATTATCATAATCAGCACTGCATCTCAGGTTGTTCTTTATGCCTTCAGGTTACACCATTGTTGTCCGGCAACGCATCAAACTGGATTTACGCCCTGCAGATGATTCACGTAACTTTTGCGTTTATCCTATTCACCCCAGCCATCCTACGAAACTTATAAAGCACTTGTTTTTAACAATGATAACTTCTTATTCCTTGTCTGAGTACTGTAGCATGACTATATCATCTGCAAGCTTCACCTAAGCAAACATCTTCTAGAGCTCCAGCTTAGCTGAGATCGCAAGGCGTTATTCTAACTGCTTCTGCTTCTGTGATTTCTCTGCATTACAAAATGCCTACCTCTTTTTGAATGGCTCGTATTCGTTAGCACAACCAGACAGGAATCATTTATTTCATAGCATGGGTCGCTGTCGAGCAAAGTGACCTCACTCTTGGCCCAACCAATTTGGTTTGACTGGCCCAGCTTTCCAATATTTTAGCAGTAGGAATCGAACACGCAAAGTGCTTACTGCCTTTACTATAACAAACCGGGATTCGGCAACAGAGATCAGTCCACTCGACAAGCTGCTCAAGTGATACCATCTAGATCAGTCCCAGTAGGAGCAGCATGGTTCCAAGGACGCGAGTAATCAAAAATTAGCGACAATGAGAATCAGTGCGACAGGCACCGGCTTTTAGTCTAGATTCGAGTAGAAGAGACCAATTATAATATTTTATATCATTACAAAACTGAATTTCAGCATCCAAGGCAACTGAAATTTCCTTCGGGTTTCGTGACATGCTTACTCACAATGAGATGGATACACTGGACGAGTCCTTTTTGTAATACTCCTTGTGTGGATAGATTACGACACGCAATCTCAATGTGGACGGCTATACGAAATGAAGCGCTTCTCTGCCAGTTTGATCACTGGATCATCTCGAAGACCCGGGATTCCAGTGCTTGCTCTACCTGACGGGATCGGCCAAGTTCAAGACCACTCGTGGGGTGCAGTTTTTTCGAGCAGCTGACATCCAATGTATAGACGTGGATCTTGCTTCTCATACTCCGGGAACCGTTCGAAGGCGATCAAGGTACATCATATGTCACAGCTTTTCTACTACAAGTGGCTTGATTACACCAAACTTATCTTTCGTAATCCGCTTTCTTCAAAGTCCTGGGCAATACAGATGAGTTCATGGTTTGTGACGAGGTGAAAAAAGTAAAAGTGAGTTGTCATTATTTCGTGTTGTCTTATCAATGCCAATAAAGGGATAGGAAACTATATATGACTACTACTCATTCATTCGGTCATATCCTAGGTGTGTAGCATAATTTTCTTGTAATTTTGTTATCACTAAAAAGACATGATGAAATGGTAACACTTAAGACTTTTCATCTCACCGCGTCACTTAAACTGCCAAAGGAATTAAACAGTACCCATTGTTATTTAAAGGCACTTCGCCATTTGTCTCATAATCCTTACATGCAAAATTAAGTAAGCGATTCTTATGCGAGCCGTGTGTCACACACCTAGGATCTACACCCAATTTTACCAAGACACTCTATTGAGATCGTGCCTCATATCTCAAGATACTAAATCGACTACTCGGAGTTTAGTTCAAAAATCACATTGATAACCGGTGAACATAATCAAACTGTAGGCGATATTAGTGACAGATGAATTTTCCGCATAAGTTCCATCGCATCGATTGCAAACAGTTATTGACAAATATATTGTATATTCCTGGGATTCGAGAGTAGCCGATCCCCTTGTTGACCAGATTAACGAACACAGAGCTCTCGTGCTTTTGCATGAAAAAATATGTATGAGTTAAAATCTTCTGTAGATAATGGGATTTTTTGCAACGTGAACGGCTTCAACGTGAACTACTGGATGTGAGTCAAATTGGGACAATGTGCAATTGCATACCCCTGACGGATAACACATTTCTTCTTTTATATCCTAAGATACATCCGTGTCGAAGTATGATTCTCGTAGGCTATTCAACCAGCCCACCTCATGCATGGCCTTTCGTAAACTTAGGCAAAAAGAAATAGGGTTCACTGACTGCTTATTTGAAATTCGACGAAAACTTTATGTTTACATATGATTTGTCTATGCATTGGTTCTGCGTTGCCGACAGACGTAGTTAAATGTTAAAGTCTTTGACGTTCTGTAATGATTTCTCATTCGAACTCGCCACGTTGTGTAATCTATATGGGTCTCAGGATCATAACTGGCACAGGATCCGAATAACGAACTTTCTTAAGATGAGGACCAGTGAAGATGGGATCTAATCTCTTTTGCTTGAGGTATGAATTTGTGCAAAACAGCGGTAAACGTGCGGTGACTTAAGGAATAATTGCACTATCAGACTCTGTTGTCCTTTGCATAAATCAGTAGCCTTGTATATGCTTGAACACTAATTCCTTCAGTGTAAAAGCGCGTTTTCCTAACAGAGTAGTGAGTATGATTGTTTGCTCACTTAGTGCTCAGCTGCACTGCATCGTGTCGAACTCTACTGGTGTCAGAACGATTCGAGTGGAAGATACTTATGACCATATCAAAATAGATTTGCACACGAGGCTTGCTATCGGTCATTATGATGACATCCTTCACATAATAGCTCTCTTCATACCAACAAACGACTTTTGTCCGTTGAATAATAACAAATCAAAAACAGACTTTTAGTAGCACCTTCGTCTTTTATAACAGTTGCGCGTTACCAACAACCATTTGATTTACAACTGAGCGCCGTATGACGGGAAAAATCCTTTCGCCCATTTGACTGCTGCTCACACTTTACTTCTGGCGTGTTCGGAGCTTTTTAGTTATTTACACCCCTTCAAACCAGTGAACAAACTTTTATAAATTCCTGCTTTCTTACCAGTTTTTGTATTTTGTGTAACGCAAAGGCCTACGATTAATGAACACTGCACACAACCCAACGATTATCCCCTATGGTGTAATTTCAGCTGAAAAAAGGTTTTATAATGTGTGGCGAAGGAACGGAGGGCTGACTTAAATGTATTTGGTACTTAATCGAATCACTGGTTTACCCAACATCCCACTTCGATATCCGATTATACATGGTATTCGGATATAAATAGCATCGCTGGCAGGTGTTAGCAAAGTTGTCTTGCTTCCAGCAGCAACTTCATTTGAGAGAAAGTTTTAAATTAGCAGACGACCCAGACCTAATGCATAGTTCCGGAAACGAGTACAGTGGCTTTGTCCCATTGACTTCACAATTAGTGTGTAGTAAATTCAAAAATTTGTGTTTTAATCCAACCACTTTATACGCTTTGAAGCACGCGATTTCCTAGTTTTGCTACCGAATTACACAGGCCTCCAGGCAGACAGCTATGTCATCCTTAACCCATTTTGCTTCGTGTTTCACTGATGTCTCAAACATTTTTCGGCAAAAAATCAAAAAAACGATAAGTGCTGGAGCCTTGTTGCATGCCGAGCAGTAACTACTAGCAGTTGGCACTTCGTAAACTCGCATCTGTGTTCTACTGGTACATCTGAGGTACGGTTTGTTTTATACATATTGTGAATTCATCTACAATTTTAAAAGGTTTATTCTTATTCCCGCTGTAGCCGTCTTCGGTTCTCAGTTTGCAGATAAAGTAAACCAGTCTAAGTCTGTTGGAATAAGTGGCGTATCAAATGCATTGTTCCTTGCACCCTACCCGCCTATGGGTGGGCACGCGCATTCGTGCGCGCAAGTCACTGACCCGGACACACGGGACAAACGCGCAATCCGACGGCGGTGAAAGGCCTATCTTCTTACAATAGTCATAACCGTGATCTGTGTGACGAGAGAAAACCACCTTAAATTTGTCTGAGCGCTTGGGTGAGCAAAGACGTCTATCTGGTCAGTCCGGTTGTATCCCACGTCCAGTCGTATTGGTGCGCTTCCGAAAACATTCTTACGGCTTTGAGCCCGAACTACGCAATTTTTCCCAACCAATAACGGCACATGCTTATTTGTGGGCGATCACAATGTTTATTTGGTTGTGGAATATAAAACAAGAGGCATGCGAACCTACTCAGCTGCATTTTTCCCTACGACTCTCAGCTGAGTTCCCTGCATCAGTGATAAGCACCGCTCACAAAGAGATTGGTGCTCATCCTTCGTATACACCATATATCAGCACAATAGTGCAACAACGCACCTTTTCCATGGCAGCCCCAAGGATTAATGGGCAACAAGCGCTGAAAAAGTGCCACAGGGAAGTACCCTACTCTTCATGCAATTATATCATGCGTTTAGTACTTTCAGTACTTTTTAATATCCTCATCCAAGCGGAATTCGGTCGATTCATGGGTATCTCCACATTAACGGTGACTGCAGGTCTGCTTACTAAACCCCACTTTACCGGGCCAACCCATGTTTACTTTCAAAAGACTGGGGGAATTCGACGGTCGCGACTTCGGTCATTCGATCCAGGAGTGGTGCAGCACTCAGCAGATAACTTGGAAAGTGGCCTCGTGTTCCAGGACGCGTCTTTGCAACAGGCACTAGAGGAGGATGTTCAAAGGTCGCCAAGAGTGGATCAGTCATTTACGTACAGTCTAAAGAACGCTGAACAGGATCCCGAGGTATCTTTATGCGAAAGCAATGAAGGTAGCCGAGGGATCACTTGTCAAGCAGTACCTAGTGTCAATAAGCGGAGAGAACAAGACGTCCGGAGTACTATGTTGGAACTGTTCAAACGAAGGATTTTGCACCAAATGAATCTACGTCAAGTCCCAGCTGTGAACGAGAGTGCCTGGGATTCCATCCCCTCTGTGATCAAAAAACGATTGCAAATCAAAGTGGACACAAATAATCGCATTTTGGAGGACCCATTAGAGGAAAATGAAGAAAAGGAGGCGATTATTTTACTTCAAATATGTGAGTTTCCGCTATTTTGCGCTCAGTTGAAAAATATAAGTTATAGCTGACACCATTCATGCAGTCAAATGGCTGGTCCTTCATTTGAGAAACGTATAAAATGGTTGATCCCATTAAGCTTTGGATACAGTAAAGAAACTTAAACGGATATCACTTCATCATGTGCGCTTTTGCGATTGATCTCTACTCTTACTCTCACGGTGACAAAAGGTTTACAATGATGAGCACGATGCCCTGCCTGGTCTCATCACTAAGGATACGGGTAACTAGTACGAGCAAATCCACGTTATTTACATGCAAAAGATACTGTAAAATACGGATTTATGAAAACCTTTTATGGTTTGAATATTTCGCACTGCCGCAAATAATAGATTAACTGTACTACCTTAACCCAATGCCATCTACACTGTGACCGAATTTTTCAGTTTACTCTGAACTCTACATGACAGCACATGACCGGGTTTACGCTAGAACATTTGTATTTACTGCCATGAAGTGAAGCTATAATTAAATTGTGGATTCCCTACGCTAATCGGGGCTAGATCCTTTAACTGCATTACTGTATTTCATCTTTGTTTGCCCATCTGCTTGATGGTGGACTAGCGTGGTTTCTACACTGATAGTTCAAGTACCACGTAGAAAGTATAGTCGAACATTTTATATAACGAACGGCCACAGATGCCATGTGCTAAGCAGCAGTGTGCATAAGCGCTATAAACTAATAAGTTTTGCTTCGAGCTACGCTAACTACCGAGAAATTAATGTCACATCTGAAACAGCAGCATTAATGTAAGCGAAACATATAAGTGAGTTTAGGATATGATGGTTAAACTTGCTCAGATGTTCTTGTTATTGGCTTAGCGGTAAAATACACATTAATGGAGGAGCTGCAACATCTCGCCATACTTGGGGACGATTTGTAACGTACTTCAAAAAATATCTGCCATATTTGTGAAGTTAATGATTAGTTCGCAAAGGAGATCACGTAAGTTAACCGAACCAGCACTTCACCGCAGATGCACTTGCAGCTAGATTCAAAGCTTCTTTTGAACTCCCATCTACCGATATGTGCACACCAACCAGCTAGACGAGGTGGAGGTGTCACCTTTTCAGACTACCGTCATGAGGAAGTCTCGAACGTAAAATGGTATTAAGCTTAAGGCCTCTTTTATTAAACTAGGATTTATGTTAAAATGCTAAATGCGTAGAGGCGTTAACTTCCGACTAGTTCCACTAATAACTTATTCGCTAGACGGACTGAGAAATTGTTTTGTTGAGCCTAGAAGAATACGGTGCCTTTAAATTTTCGTCAAGAAGAACCGGCGTCATATGCAGTTTTACTGACTAAACTGATTGTCAAGACCACTCGATATGGTTAGTAAACTTAGATTGATATTAGATTCGTTATCACAATGCGCTTTATGAACCTAATTACAAGTCAAGACGTGTTGTTGCGATTTTGCATTGGAATACTCTCACGTACAAAAGCAGAAGGAACACTTCCCATAGATTGAAAAATGCGAGTGTGGAAAAACTAACGTACACCGTCGTAATAGATATTTGCAGCTGATTCGAAAGTTGTTGTGTGAAACGCACACATACCTTATTCACCCACCAAGAAGGAAAACGGAAAACGGAACAGTTCATATGAGGTTGCACCATACGAACGATCAATAGCGCATTAATGTTTCAGCTTAACACGTTCAAAGACACTATGCGCTTTGTTAGCTGGGATGCTACTTGGCATTCGAAAATTGTGCGCAGAGAGCTCATAATGCACAAAATTCCCTGCGAAATGACTCCAGCAAACAGAACGTGACTCTTCCACGATTTTATCGAAACGTATAATTGGACGGAATCGTGCCATTCAATGTAACTCTGAGCGGACAGTAAACGCTCTACCGTGTCTGTGGTACCTCAAAGCAAGGGCGTTCGTTGGGGGCAGCGACTGTGAAAGCGATAAGCTCATTTCGGAAGCTACACGTAGTCCCTCGGTCTAGCTTACTCCTTTTAGCCACTCTCCTCAGGTAAAAGCAGGTGGGTGATGGCTGGTTGATTTATGTTTTTTTACTGATAATAATGTGACAATTGTGGTGATGGCTTGCCTCGGGGGAAACAACAGAAGCCCACATAATACTTGTTATCCAATAAGCCTGTTTTAGTTTAGTTTAGGTGATCAAATATTTTATGATGGGTCAGCCAAGATGTGTACATTGAAGTTAACGTTCGAATACGGTATTAGGAAAATAAACAATTAAGACTCTAGCAGAGGGAACTTTCGACAAGTACGCAATAATCTGTCTGCATAAATAGAGCGCACTTTTCGCGCAGGACTTGGGTGGCCTTTAATGTCTTCTCAAGTGGAAGAGAACACAGTGAAGTCCTTCCGAATAAAATATCCCAACGGTATCCGTGTCGCCCCCGAACAATGCCACGCCATGACCGATTTCGTCCACCGTTGAAGTGGTCACTTGGAGATGGCCCGAGCTGAGGTGGAACTCGGGCCTAGTGGTTAACGCCTGACACACTGATCACTATGCCAGTGAGATCCGTGACCAACACTTGGCACAATGGCAAGGAATCCAAAGTTGCATTTGGAGTATCCACCATGTGGTTGGATCGGGACACACAAACACTGTTGAAACCTCCGTTCACTTTGAAGTAGATCTCAGTCATTCAGATTATAAGGACCGTATACGAACTGGTAGTGTCTTGGTGTTACTCACCCCAACACTGTCACTCAATGACCGGTTTCGTCCTCTTTTGGACTCCAACTTTGAATCCCAAGTAATACTTTCAAAGGAGTGACTAATCATTGGAAATGAGAGATATTAATGAACTCAAGTACTTCGTCTGGGCAAATGAGTGAATCCTTTATCGAAGCTCATGGCTAAGGGATATTGTTGTCTCAGTCAGCCAGAGGCTGGTGATGTATAGTTGGGTGGACATGGTCAATTGTATGTTTGTTGCATGTTTTAAGTGTTGTGGGTCAAATCTGTGGAAAGGTGAATGGAATCAGATAGTTTCTGCGTGAACCTTCTGCACATGTCAATATGGTGTCGGTTACCAAAGGAAGCAGATTAGTTGGGCTAAGCAATTTGTTTCACCTAACAAACTACCACAGGCACTAATCGCGCAATAAGTGACCGAGGGTCTTCTATGTCGTCAGAGGCATTAAAATCGAGTTCATCGGTGTTTATTTGAGGTGAGTGAATTTTCGTACATTATGGCGAATGTGATGCCGCTGGCTGGTGTAGTATGCAGCTTCTAGCTTCTAGTGTAAAGACTATTGCCGGAGTACTGCTACATTACGTCGTACGTCTCAAAAAGTTGCGTTAAAAATATGACTCAGACGGTGTCATGCACTGGTTGAATGAGTTCTTTGGGAAGAGCAAACCTTAAATCGATCATGACTTTCATGGCACAGTTGCGCTCAAAGAAAAACGGAGTAGATGATAGTCGAATATAAACAACCATTGGACAAGATACCCATGCATCTGTGTAGAACAAAACATGTTACACCTGTCAAACGAGTGATACCTCACGATTTGTTCAAGAAGTTCTAGTGAGCAAACGGTTATCATTGCTTAACTTATTGCTTCACCAATGCAACGGTGTTTCTGCGGCTCAGCTGAAAAGACAACTGGTGTAGTTACGTATCAGTGGTGGTAGCCGGCATATCTTGACGAAATACCGTAGGTGAAGTGAAGCTTCCGCCGTTACCAGCATGGTCTTTCACTGCTTTTGTTTATCCTGTTCTGTATGAAAATTTTGAGAGAAAATGGTGTTAAGCCAACAGCCATCCCTGATTGCTTGATATGGACTTTGCTTTTCGTTGCAGACCCCTTTGCCTTGAAAAAGTTGCCCTCACTTACCTTCGCAGTTAACTTGGCCGATGCGATTGACGCTGGCAATGTTCTCAGTGCTTGGATCCATGCCGAGGTAAGAAGAGAAGATCGAGTGAGAGGTTCTTGTGGTCTTTTTTCATATGCACTATAATGTTATTGACATCGGAAGTGTGTATCATTCGCATACCGGTTTCGCTTCCACTAGGAACAGCATGTTTGCAGATGATGAGGTGACCATTTCTCCTGGATTCGTTGGCACATGCGGGTGGCTGTGTTCCGATTCGCCGTTAATATAGAGGGCACAAAAAGATAAATACTTTTAGTTATATTCCAAGCTAGGATTGAGATACATGCTGAAAGCAAGCTCTTAACTTCATGAAATCAAAATTACAGAAGAGTAGTAGGGGAGTTGTGGGGTATAGGAAATCCAACTTCCACAACACTGGTTCGCTCCGATCCTATTGCAAACACATCCCTGAAATGCATCGTTGATATTGTGATACACCTAAGTAATTTAGATTTCATTGTCACTTAAACAACAGATCAATTAATTGTTGTCTCTAAAAACCGGAGCAGTTGAATTTTTAAAGGAAATGGATGGACCAAACACTACTGCTTCACCATTTCAACTCACCTGAAGTAAGCAGGATACGATTAACAGGAACTCGGTTCCGGCACTTTCCTAATTAGGCGTGGGATATCACTCGCTAAACCGTAAACCGATTAGGATGCATTTACTAGTTCGAAATGTACGTGCGAATCTATTTCTCATTCAACTTAATCTGACCAAATATATCAAGCCAGCCAGTCCCCGATTTTGGGAATGTGGATACCCGTTTGGCCATTTTGAGTTTCCGTGTTACTGCTGGTTCGCTCGGTTCAGTAACAAATACAAAACAATGGCCGATATGTACTAGAGAAACACACAAGACTGGGCATCAATGAATATAACCAGCCGACGTGACTATTTTGATGATTGTGTGTGAGGCAATTCCAACCGTCCACACCTTCTTGCATGGTTAAGATGAAGTACGTTTAAGCACTTTACACTCCTAATCCCACGATATGCAGATGTTACACATTCATCTTGACTCGACGAAGACGATAAGCGCGAAGGTGGTATGGGTTGCGCTCAATCTGTATCAATGACTGAAATTAAGCATAGGATGGATGCTGTGAGACATACACACACAGTCTAGAGGTCAACGCTCTTTACCAAATGGTTATCCCTTTGGAATCTTTAATGTTTGCTACGGGTGCAGACCAATTGAAGCTATTAGAAGTAAGCGGAAACCCGTAGTTCATGCCCGAAAATGGCAGGTCGTTCACCCCATTTTACGCTTCAGGAACATAAACAGCATCAACTGTTCATGTATCACGCACATTAGTGTACTCTGCAGTAGGGATGTCCAGTATCTAACGCCGGACGAGGTGATGAAGGTATTCGAGATCGTAAACCTGAAAAAGCTGTCTCACTGCAACAAAGTAGGATGGTTTCCATTGTGTTACCCTAGTAACTAACTTGGAGATAATAATAAATGCCATTATGACACTAAAAGCGTTGCAAAAGTGATCAAGTTTCTGAGCTAGCATATACATCGCTGCTAATGTAGCTACATAGATAGTAGAATCAATCAAGTGTCTTCAGTTCCTTTTGTCATTGCATAGTTTTCTTGCGGTGACCCCTTGTAATGAGACGATGCATAGTGCATACCCACAAGAAGCTACAAGTCTAGACGGATCTTCCAGGTCAAGTGCGCCGCTTCATAACCGTCATACAGTAAGAGGAATCAGTACGCATAAAGTAGATCAACTGGGTTCGTTGAGCTAAACCCTGATAACATACCTCGCAAAACGCCATAATAGAGCGCTATCTACAGTATCACATGACGGGTGCAATCACAGCGAATTTCAATTGATTTGGGTGGAGAATCCGGAAATTTTTATAGATCTGATGTGATGCGGTACATGATAATTTAATGTTAGTGCACCAGTTAAAGCACATCACGGGTGCGGATACTAAACAGGACAGAGCTGAGTCGAAGCGGCTCTGGAAATTAAATATCCATACCAATATCGGTCTGTCGGAAAGTCACCACCTGATCAAAGACAGGGTTCTTCATAAGACAAATATCGCTGGATCGTAGTCTGGTGTGAACATGTGGTGTCTTGTGATTGTTGGTGAGTTGCCACTGGGAAAATACTGTTTGGTGCTGCATCGTGTAAACACAATGGAGCTATTTGCAAGCCAAATTATAATGCTACAGTGTGTATGACAGCTGTGGCACACAGAGAAGTATAGTTCATCAGGTAAGAAACTCTTCATTGAATCGATGATTCAACGGTAAAGGGTGTTCAACGTAAAAGACTTATTCCACTTAGAGCAGGGGTGTCCAAACTTTCTGCAAGGTGAGCCACATTTTTCGACGTAAAACATATCGGGTCATATACAGTCTGATTAAGATAACAAAAATCACACATGTACGAAAATGGTCCAAGGCTGAATTTAGTATTTCATGATGAGGCCGTGGGGGAGTTGAGATGTGAACGTGGGCCGCAATTGGCCCGCGGGCCATCCGTTGGAAACTCTTGACTTAGAGGGAACGCTATTCCAGCTATCTTACAACAGCCCAGTACGACCGCTGAACATAACTCCACTTGAATTCATGGTCTTCAGATGTAATCAGTTAACGATGTGCAAACGAAGTATTAGTAGAAGCTGGTGAACGACTGAAACAGCATGATCCTTCCAGTAGTGTCATCCGTACTGTCAGAAACTATCTCTAATCCACCTAATCCAAATAATTAGGCATTACGATTTATTAAAATACCATAAAGCAGCAGGGATAGTAGCCGTTCAAAATACACAAACCCCATACATTGCGACAACACGAAGAAATGCACGGGAAGAGATGCATTGTCTACTTTAATTACGGCCTATGCGCCCACAAAGTGCAACACTGATTCGGTGAAAGATGAATCCTATCACGAGATGAACGAGCTCCTTCGTTACAAAAAATGTACGGATACTGTGGTCCTGGCTGCCGACCTGAAAGCCCAAGTTGGAGAAATGTCCGCTGATGAGCTGAATCTGGGCGGCCAATGTCTTGTAGGCTCCCGTATTGATAACGGTTAGAAGATGCTCGTCTCTCACTACTACTAATTTATGACACAGTATCCGCAGAAGGGTGACATGGCTCCTACCCGCCTCAAACCAGCCATGGACGAAAATCGAACATCTCGCGATCTGTTCCCGCTAAAGTGTTTGTGTCGAAGCTGTCGCTCCAGTTGGAGCACGAGGGTGGAATCTGACCACGCACCCATTTGTTTAGATCTTACAGTACGATTCGGTTGCCGCATGCGGCGTGGCTGTGAGAACAGAAATATATGCCAGTTGGGGAAGCTGGATGTTCCGAATGCGTATAAATTACGCTGATATTCGGGCCGAGTAAGCGTTCTCTGAACGCAGTAGAGGGACACTGGCCGCATATTCACCAGACGTTATTAGCAGCAGTCATGTCTGCATCTGACAAATCAACTTGGGTTTCTATGTAGTTTCTGGAATTTTTGGCTGCTCAACGATACACTCCGGCTAGGAGAGAACACAATGAGACCAGGAAAGTCCTCAGAACAAAACTCCGTGCTAACCTGAAGAGAGACCGCGCGGCATGGTGGTCTCCTCGTGCATGGGAGGTGAAACTGGCTGCTGTTCTTTGTAACCAACGGAAGTTTTCCCAACAGATAAGGGAAACGAGCAAAATGAGACTTTTAGCGAAAACATACGTGACGAGCGCGGATGGCCGATCCACAATTTGTCAAAACGCCTGGATCATTGGGCCGAACACTTTTAGTGACAGCTTAATCAAGTAGAGTTAATAGCTTCTCCTTTGGTCATTGATCATCATTCTCCCTGGACCGTCCTCATGGACCTGTCTTCACGCGTAGAAATTAGACGTGAAATCAGACTGTTGAAAATAAATAAAACCACAGGAATTGGCGAAATCTCTCCAGCTCTCTGTAAATTCGAGGGAACTGCTCTTGCAGATGATCTGCACAGCTTGCTTGTAAAGCTGTGGGAGTAGGAAACCGGCCCAACGGAATGGAATAGCTCTATAATAGTCCCAATTTTCAAGGGGCTAATGTTCGGAATGTGTCAATCGTTGAGGGATCAGTTTGATCGCAATTGCCCCTAAGTTACTCGCCACTATCGTTCTCCATAGACTTTCTGGCACACGTGGACACCAGCTTCGCCAGAAACAAGCCGCGTTTCATGGCATTCACAACCGTATTGGTCACTTCACCATATAGCATCAGTTATTGGAGTGCTGCCGTATGTATCGGCAAGCCACCGTGGTTGTGTTCATCAATATCATAGGTGCCTTCGTTTCAGTGAATCGACGCCCTTCAAGACTGTCTAGCGAGGAAAGGTGTGCACAAAAATTTATGTAAACATTAGCAGAGAGCTGTACGCGCGTACCTCGTTCGGAGTGAGGGCTTTCGGCAACTTGTCGCCGCCCTTCAGTATCTCCAGTGGTGTTAGTAAAGAATGCCCGCTGTCACGATTCTTTTTAACATTTCCACTGATGAAGTGAGAAAGAGCGTTCACTAGACAGGAACTGCAAAACGTGGAACTATTCCCAGGTGAGTAACCTTGAATTGGAGTACGCTGACGACACTGCCCTTATCCGTAACCGACTTTCGAACGTGCCAAGTAGCATGGGACAAAGTAACATTGACTGTCGGTCTTTTCATGGGATATACTTTACACCATCAAAGTGCAAAGTCTTCAAAAATTGGCAGGGCTCACCCCTGCGTTGGCGCTTGATGATGCTCATCTAGAAGTCGTCGAGAAATTCAAGTATCTAGGCAGCTATACCAGCGCCAGTGGAATGGAAGGTGTGGTCAAAAACCGCCTAGCAACACCTCGAGGCCCTTTTGCCAATCTCCGCCACCTGTGGCGCCGGCGCGACATCACTCTCGCCTTGAAAGGCAGAATTTACAATGCAGCCGTCCGTTTGACCCTACTGGATGGCTACGTAACCACGTCCATCAAGCCGACAGACAAAGATGCTACCTAAATTCAATCATTGATGCTCTATCAGCTTAGCTCAGATCTAGTGGGAATACCGCGTGAGTAATGAGTGTGTTCCTTATCGTGTATTTAATGCAGGAAGAGCGAATGCACTACTCTGCATCAGGCTCCGATGGCTGAGCCGCGTGCTGCGCATGGCGGTCCACAGACTCCCGCCACCTGCGTTGTTTGGGCGACTGAGGTATGGATGGAAGAGGAGGGGAGGCCAAGCTCTGAATCGACCAGGAAAAATGAAGTCTCACTTCGAAGATGGCCTCGGTTAGGGTGTCCCGACTGCATGGCTGGGGTGCGAAGAATGATGAACACGTCTGGTTTGATCTACTATTTGACTTGGCAAACAGCAGACCTCAGTGGTTTTTGTCTTGGGAGCTTCATTGTCCTTTCCCATCTCGCCTATCATCCCACTGCAACCACGATCTCTCTTGATGCATACTATGTTACTAAGTAGTGTATTGCCCGTTTTTGCGTTATATGAGCTTTAGTGTCTTGATTTTTTCACATGTCTTATGTTTATGCATTGTAGCCTAGTAATTGAGGTCTTTTTTCACGTTCATCTAGTGTGTAAAGATGATGATGATTTTAACTGCTTCTAACCAGCGCACAACGTATGAAGAATGCCTATTCATATGTGTTTTGGTAAACGGCAATCAAACTATTATTTTCCTTCTCCGAATAGACGGAAGGCGAATTTTTGGACGACACCAAATTGTTCTTCTGGGAGATCATTCCTCCTTGGCCCGTTCCCAAGTCGGTGCAGAATGTAGAAGATAATCAGGAGGATTTCGACTTGTACGCTGATCCACGGAAAGACAGCACTCAATCCCTGTGGAATGAGCCATTGGAGGACGTCGGCGAAAACGCAGCCCAACTTGAGGTGTCCCAATCCCAATCGTTCAAAGTCCTTCAACCAGTAATTGCTAAGGCGACCTTGCCCGGTTCCAGTGGAAGTTACGAAAACGTCATCTCTGTAGATATCACTGCTCGGCTGATTCATTGGATCAGGCACGGAAAGAGCCATAGATATGGCACTCGGATGCAACCTCTGATTCGGCATATTTTAATTGTCTGTCCAACTTGCAGCGAAGAAAACTTGCGTATCAACCCGAAGAAGGTGAGCCAGAGTGATGATACACTCTGAAGCTATCCACGTCTCTGTTCGGTAACACTAGATTGTGGGACTATGCTGCAACCGATTAGAGATGTTTGCACGGTTGTGTCAACATGAAGTCTCGAGGGCATAACAAAATAATAAGGAGTCAAGAGATAAGCATTATCAAAATCTAAGGAATAACCCATCGCACCATTTTGTTTTTGCTTAAAGCGGTTTTATCTCTCATAACATGGAAAATATGTTGCTAAGCTGAATATTCACACTTCATGAGTGCATGCCATGCATTGTTGACTGACTTGGAGGTTCCTGACCAATCTCACTGTGTGCGCTCCTCAGGTGTTGTGCATTGCCACCGGGTTTCTTTTCGGGTATCGGTACACTATTTTTTACTACTGAGATATAGATTGCAACACAACTTCAAAAGCGATGTTGGCTTATTTGCTTGACAACGTGACGAAACAGTACCGTACGTATCCTCCTCTGGGCACCGGATGCGTGTAAGCAATAGGACGACATGCGGCGTTGGTACACGATAACAATACTAGTTCATAAAACCTTGCACATTCATGAAAATACCCGCCTGGAAGTGCGGAGAGGGCAGATGAAACTGCGCCATAATAGTAAACCACATTCAAGTGCTTATGTCTCAGACGCGAAACATTAACAATTAGGAACGTGGTATTATTAACAAGCGAAGAGGAAAAAGCAGGCTTGGTGCGTCAATGTGGCTCACTTCTTCCCAGACATAGGTGCAGTCAGGTATGGAATTCGTACGCATATCGACCAATGTCATGACCATTTCGAGCAGGAATACATAAAGTTTTCTACCACGACCACAGTGTAATAAGTCTTATTGGTAGCTCCCGTGTAAGTAAGCTATTTTACACGTTCACATGTAAGAAGGCCTAGAGCGGTAGTAACTTTTACTCGCCTAACTACATAACAATGCTTTACCGCTTTTCTGTCAGGCAGGGTAGAATAATATGGTACGTATAGTAAGTATCTAGGCTGATTTCCCCAATGGTAACGTAACTTCGACTGGTAAATGTACTACTACAAACATAAACTGAGTCGTATGCACTTGCAAGTGGTTAACTGGCCAGAAGACCGAAGATTGTGCCTATTACTTATGATCAAACAGAAGGAATGAAGTCTAGGAAATCCATCTTTCAGAGCGTCCGAGATTTGTATGTTGCATCGACCTGCTCTGAAGTGACACGAATCTCTGATAAGACATGGCCGTGATAGGGAAGCTAAGCTCCTAAAATTTCATCTTAGAGAGAATTCGAAATCAAGATTGTTGTAATCACATGTTTACTCCATACAACTGGCGTACAAGGAAAAGGAAATTAGTGGATGTATTAGAGACCGAAACTGTAAACGATGGTAACCAAAGTTTGATCAGCATTATTGCCAAATGGTTGGCGGCATCCGACTCCGGATTTGCCCGTCAATATGGTCTCCATACACCAGCCACAGAACTACTGCGCCTACAGTGGGACCATGGGTGGCTTGCGCTGCACCACCCACAGCTCCAAGTACACACCACATATCCAGTGTAAACCCGAAGGAATAAGACTGGGAGTCATGTGGATGGGAGCCAGGGTTCATTAACGGTGCCGGCCCACACTCCTTCACAGGCAAACACAAGCACGCTGTATTTGGGGAATCAAGCGCACACAAGGCTGTGACTGAACTCTAGTCCGTTCCACACTGATTGCATCGAACCACTCTTCGAGCCTAGCACGACCTCAAGGATCGTGCACCCCGTCCCCTCCAGCAACGACCAACTATCACCTAGAGACAGTATGGACGAGGTGGTGGGTAAGGGAGAGGTAGGCGCCTTGTCAGCGATTTCATCAAGCGCAGCCACATCGCGGTTATCAAGCAACAACCAATCACCTGGAATGACGAGATCAAATAAAATATATCAGGTAAGGCATACGGATATGTTGATTTCACTCTTCATTAAATTGGCTTTTGAAAAAGCTCATTATTAACATATTCACGATGAAGTCGAGATGGCAAAACAGAGATCCAATGTGAATAAACTTAACAAAATTAACCTTCTTTGGTTTAAGCTACGTGTGTAGTAAGATAGAAGATTATTTAGATAGACAGTAAAATGCCGTAACGAATAAATATTAACAAACATGGCAAACCAATCAGCTGAAATAAAGAAACTCAGCACGCAAGCACGCGGTTAGTAAATCGAATGCAGCATGACTATCAACTCTACGACGGTTCTGTCTACGTCCTCAGCAGCACCCGTCGTCCTATCGACGCTGGTCCTGAGTGGCCTCGCTCGGGCCTCACTAGACCTGCCTGACTCAGGCACTCTCGACCGCATGCGCTAAAAAATCATGCGCCCGATGTCGGTGGAGTATAACCCATCGGCGCCTGTCGCTTAGGCAGCTGACGTTTATTTTCCGCATGCATGTTCAATAATGTATGAGAGAAAAATGTACCATGGCCAGCTAATTTCATGGGTAGATTGAAAGTGGTCACACCGGGGCTTCAAGGTTAACCCGTTTGTTTCTTAACTTTAAGAGCCTCTCGCAGGAATGTAATGAAGACTCCAGTATTTAGTGTAATCTTTCAGTAATACGATTAGCTGATGTGGTGTTAAACTGAAGAAAACACATTGGACTAAATGGCTCAGTGAATTATGTGCTTCAACGAATGCTGAAGTTAAGTCGATCACACCACCGTTAGCTGATGCATTTCTACCTCTAAAAGGCCAATGCTGTATGAAACTCATTGTTCGTTGTACCTACCATTAGAACATCGGGCGACCTATCAAACTGGTTGGACGATTACCTGCACAACAGAACCATCAAAGTAAGAATAGCCCACACGCACTTCGAAAGACGGTACGTATCCAGTGACTTACCGCAAAGATCCGTCCTCGGCCCGCTACTGTTTTTAGTCTACATCAATGACTTAGCGAACATTCTATCCCCGATGCAAATATTTGTAAATGACGATAAAATACGGAGATAAATTCGTTCGGAATCCTACAGTTCATTGGTTCAGAACGACTTGGACCGCATTAACGAATGGGCAGAATGGAATCAGCTCCCGCTGAAACCTGCAACGTGCCACCTGCTGTCGGTGCGCAGCAGCTTCATCGACACATATGTTCTTGGACAACAGGCTCTGTAACACGTGACCAGCGAAAGATGCGTAAGTAGCATAACGTAAGAACTTCTCAGCAATTCACTCCAGTGTTTGAAAGTAGCAAATATAGTGCACTTGAACTTGTAGCTGGGGAGGCGAGCTTTTGGCACTATTGAGCGAAAACTAGTACTCTGCTGCTTAACTCGTATGTTCCCCCTCAAGCTGAACATGTGGTACAGGCCTGGCGTCCATGGTTAAACCGAGACATTCGTCGCTTGGAGCAGCCATAAAGAAGAGCAACCAAAGCAACATGTGGACTATACGGTCACAGTTACGAGCTTTGCCTTCTTTTACTTGATGTGTTCTTCTCAAACTACCGATGGTATCGCAGAGATCTCAGTCTCACCTACCGGGCACTAACTGCGAACGAACACGCATGCACATCACTGCTGACCCTAGCCCCTTACAAATAATGCAGAGGTCACCATCTGCAAATAGCAACGCAGCGCTCCCGTTTGGATTGTAGAAAGTATTTTTGCTCTCTTAGAAACGATTCCCATTGGAATGCACTATCAACACATGTGGAGAATGCACCAGACATCGCGGCATTCGAAAGGTTATTCGACTTTCCTTTTAGTGATAAACGCCACACAGCAGTGCAATGTCTTTACTACTGATGACGCACGTCCCACGTTGGAACATATTGATATTAATTTTTTTGCATTTTTCATCCCATCATACACTAGTGAACTAGTGAACTGAGAGGAAGATTAAAACAGAACGTACCACAACGTGTATAGAAACGACCAGTAACACTTTCTTGAAAATTGTGCCACACTTGTTAAATAACGAAGTTAGCAATGGACTTCCTTCACTAGCACAAGTGCACATACTATCGACAGAGTCGAAGCGTGCTTATCTAGAATTATAGGTGTGTGCTGTAACTTGTGAGGCCTTAAGGCAACTCATTCATGCTTCCCAATTACGGTGTCAGTGGAGTCATTCGGAACAGTTTTTATTGTGTTAAATTATGCAGTACGGCTAACGCTCTCCGAATTCTCTTGTATCAGGTAGTAATGGAAGTCCGCTATCGCAAAGAACTGCGTCGTTTACGCCGATCAGTTGGTACACCAGAAGCTGGACTAACAAACCTGTGTCGTGAAGATGGACATCAATTTACTTGCTGCACGCAGCCACTGTCAATTTCATTCGCTGAAATCGGGTGGGACCGGTGGGTAATGTTCCCGAAAAAGGTGGAACCAAATTACTGCCGCGGATCATGCCAAGGTGAGCTCCAGCACGGCTGGACTTGGAAAATGATGACAACAATATGATTTAACGAGTAGCGTTCAATAAGTTAACATCCTTTATCATAACATGTACGAAGTAATCTGAACTGTAATCCAAGAGGAAGTGCGTCTACTGTCCGTTTCGTTTAATAAATAGCCATCAAACATGAGTCCGGAGTCAGTGAGTGCTATTTTTCAATCAAAAATATGCATATCCCTTAATGAGCACCTAAGGAGCACAATCACAGATTGTAGTTCAAAGTGGAATAACCTGTATGTACTATTGTCTCAAGGCGAGCCCAAATATGTACTTGTATAACACCACAAAAGCAGAAACGGTCGCTTGTTTCTGTACCATGACATTCCTGTGTCATATAATGGGCTGTGGTAGACTTTATAGGAACAGTATTTATCTTACGCTGTGACCCAGGTAACGGCTTGCATTAGCTGTTAGCACCAAATGCTCTTAACGGCAAATCAGATTAAAACCAAAACTCTAAGTTGCTCACCCAAACACAGTGTGCGGCGAGTGCGATGCGGTGGATTAGTGGACTGCAAAAGGAGTGGACATTGTTCGAAAGCCTGCATGGTTTGCGATCGTTTTACCGATCAATTGGCCATTAGAATACGGTCTGTTGCTTGTAAACCGTAAGGCAAGTTATCTTTCGCGCTGGGACGTCTTACCAAAATGATAACAACATACGAAGATGTGAAAATATCAAAGCTCGAGGCGATAAGTACATTAGGCGTACGATAGAATACGGTAAACCAGTTTGAGTACTGATTTAAAGAATTGGGGAAGTTAAGATGCACAAAAGCAACTAAAGTCACAGTAGGTAGAAGTTAATTTGTCGACAACGGGAACCTAAATCGACACATAGTGAACAAAAGCCGAGTGGCGACGCATATTCATGAGAGGAGCTGCTTCGTAGGTTAGTCTATAACACTTTACTAACTCTCTTATTACTGACACTTTGTGTATCCTACCTACCTAGTCATTCTGTCACATCATGATAAGTTAGTGTACGATGTTGGTTTTTAACCTCATACATATCAAACGTGTTGTGCTCGAAGTGCTAAGAAGTATAACGTTTGCTGCCAAGCACTGTGCGTAACAAACGTCAGATGGTTTGAAGCTACGACTTGATTTGCAACTTGAGACGTAGAACGAAAACAGGTTAAACTGTGCAGGACTACAAGAAGAGGTTTTCTTTAAGCTGAGATATAAAGGAAAGTTTGTAACATGGTGCATAGAGGCTTCCTATGACGTGGTTTACCAAAGACATCTGTGTTCTTAACTATAAGCTGGATCTCAATGCAAACATAATAAAGAAGCGGCATTCACAGAGACTCGTGGACATTCCGAAGTCACTAGTACCAGCAATGATGGCTGACATCATCCCGTTTTGGATTTGCTTGTCACTGTGGTCAGCCACAGGACCCCTGCGCCTACAGAGGGATCATGGATGGCTTGCGCTGCACCGCCCACAGTTCCAACCATATCCAGTGTAAACCCGAAGGAATAAGACCGGAGGGCATGTGGATAGGAGCCACGTTTCATCAACGGAGCTGGCCCACACTCCTTCACAGACAAACACAAGCACGCTTACTTTGAGGATTCAAGCCCCCACAAGGTGGTGGCTGGACCGTAGTCCGCTTCACTCTGAGTGCATGGAAGCACTCTTCGAGCCTAGCACGACCACAAGAACCGTGCACCCCGCCCCCTCCACCAACGACCAACTTTCTCTAGGAGCCAGTATGGACGAGGTAGTGGGTAATAGATAGGTAGGTACACATCAAGCGCAACCACACCAGAGATATCAAGCAACAGCCAATCATTTGGAACGACAAGATGAAATAAAATAAATCGGATAATGCATGCAGATACGGAGACTAACTCTTCACTAAATGAGCGTATAAAAATGATTACAAACGAATCCGCGATAAGTTCAAGAGGTCAGAAAACTTATTTTAAGCAAATGTCAAACGAGAAAAGGTTATCGAAATTAACTACAATTTGCTTCATCAACGTGTGCAAGTTTATAGAAGATAGTACTGGTAGACAATAATATGAGAAAGAAAATCATCAGTACAAAACTGAAAACCCACCACCTGAAATTAAAGGACCCAGCGTGCAAGCACACGGTTAGTAAATCGAATGCAGCGTACCTACAAAAGCTGCGCCGGTTCTGCCTACATTCTCTGCAGGACCCGTCGTCACTTCGGTGGTAGTCCTGAGTGACCTGGCTCATGGCTCAATAGGCCTTCCTGATTCACGCACTCACGACCGCATTTGCTACAGCACCATGCGCTCGATGTCGATGGAGTACTACCTTTCGGCGCTTGCCGCTTCCGCACTTGCCGCTTCTTCTTTGTATGCATGAGGTCTTTCTCCCGCACTTCGGCAACTGCCTTCGTGATCAGATCGCGCCATGCACGCCGATAAACTGCCTTCGATTCCCATGACTTGCAATCAAGATTAGAACATGAAAGGCTCACTTTGGTCATCTCCTGGTAACGTAACTTTGGTTACCCTGAAAGCCGCTTCCCAATACTCACCTGACCAGATAAAGGTTGTTTCGGTATCCGCGTCGAATCCATACGGCTTACATGACCGAGCAACTTCAGCTGTCTCAGCAAGAGTATGCAAACAACTTCATACATGCTACTCCGACGCAGCATTTCCGTGTCCGAAAATCTGTCGCCCCATCCGATGCGTATAATCCTCATCAAACACTGTTGATGGAACCGCTCGAGATATCTTACATCCCGCTGGTACATGGTCCACGTTTCACGGCCGTATAGAAGACGGATAGCACCATAGATTTGTACACCATCAGCTCCGGGCCAATGGTAAGCTGATGGTTGTTCCACACTCGATACTCTAGCTTCCCGAACGTCGCCGCTGCCTTCAAGACGTGGAAACGAAGCTCACTGTGTAGCTGCTGGACAGTCGATATCACACTCCCAAGGTAGCAGAAGCGGGAGGTCGTTTCCAATAATACATAAACGATGCTGATTCGCGGCAGTATTGCAGATTGCACCGCCGGTAAAGACTGTAAGAGACAGACAGTTTTGTTTGTGTTGACGGTGAGCCCGAATTTGGTCGCTTTCGAAGCCAGAACACTAGTCATGTGCTGCAACTCATCCGCGCTGTGTGCAAACAATGTACAATCGTCAGCAAACAGCAACCTACGGATAATTGCCTCACAGACTAGAGTTCTCGCACCGAAACGACGGATGTTCAGCAAACCACCATCAATACGGTGCTCCACACGAACACCGTAAGCACAAGACAACATTGCATGAAGATATATATTAAACAGAGCAGGAGCTAAGACACAGCCTTGCTTCACACCAGAGACAAACGCAAAGTTATCCGAGGTCTCTCCACACAGCTGCACGGTCGCCCGCATATCACTGTGCAGACATTCAATCAAAGTTACAAACTTACTCTGACTACAAAACTTACGCAATCCCAGCCACGATGCCTCGCGATTCACCTTATCAAATGCCTTGGTGAAAGCAACAAACGCAATTACAATAACTTGTGTCGTTCTCTGCACTTCTCTTGCAACTGACGAGCCTCAAACACCATATCTTTAGTGTTGTGACCCGAGCGGACTCCACACTGCTCTTTAGCCACTTTAGGATCCACAAACTGACTGACGAGGCGGATGAGCAGCATTCGGGCAATCAATTTGCGTACACCAATCAGCAAGTTGATACCACCATAATTCGTGCAACATTGCTTGGTTTCTTTGTCCTTGTACAGTGGTAGCACAAGGGCATCCTTCAGCTCAGGAGGCACCTCCTCCTCAATCCATACGCGTTGCATCAAGTGATGCAGCGCACACACCAACGCGGGACCGCCGTGTTTCAATACTTTAGGCGGGATCCCGTCGGCACTGGCACACTTGCCGTTTCGCAGCTGAGCAAGTGCTCTCAGCGTCTCATCCAGTGTCGGCGTGTCTGCTAGACTTGCCTAAACATCGTACTGCTTAAGGCAGTGAAACGTAAGTCAGTCAACTCTTAACGGCTCTCAAGAGCCAGTCAAAGTGTTTCCGAGAGATCTGTCTTATGTCGGTAGTCTGTGTGCAGGTATCGCCTGAACTACCTTCGATCGGTGTCCTCAGCGGCTCCAACCTCGGATAATACACCGCCTGCAAGGAGTTAAAGAATTCCTTCTGTTGGCGGTGTTCGGCGTAGCAGCACAACTGCTTCTCTTTTTAGGTCCAGCATGCATTTTAATGCGACGGAGCTCTCGAATAAGTCGCCGTTGATTCCTGCGAAACTGACTCTTCTTCCCCAAATCACTGGGGTCTGTCACATTTGCAACAAATGCTGCATTCCTCTCCAACACCAATGTGCCAATCGTCGCATTGTTCTCCTCAGAGCAATTAGGCAGCTTACAGTTTACGCGCACGATAGTCTCTTCAACAGCAGCTATCACCTGGTCGCGAATGTGGTGCCACAGTTCGTCCACGGTGACTATGCATTCCACAACACACAGGCGTGCAGCCATCGCCTGCTCCAGCTCAATACGTTTCGCCACAGTGCCGAGGGAGAAAAGCTTAAATTTACGCCGCTTAACGGAGGGAGTGCAATATACAGAGTAATGAAAAAATATAAAGTTTGGTCCGCAGCAATGTGTGCTCAGTGCCACACTCAGCTCCACGCATTACACTTGTCATAAGCACGTCATGCATACCACGCTAACGTATTGTGACATAGTCGAGCAGGTGAGTATGACCAGTTCTTGGGTGCGTCCAAGTTACTATATCACTCGCACTCAGTGCAAACCAAGTGTTCGTGGTCGTCAAACCGTGAGTGGCACACAGTGAAAGCAGCCTGTCACTGTTCGCATTTGCTAAACCAGTGCTATGCGGACCGATGACATTTGTCCAAACCGATACATCACGAACAACGTGCGTGTTGAAATCCTCCAGCGTAAATAGTCGGTCGCTCCTCGGACCAGACCGTATCACGAAGGATAGC